TTTTTTCTGAATAATGAATATTTTTAACTGATTATATATATATATATATTCTTTTAATTAACTACATCTTTTACTTTTTTCAACTAATTATAAATTTTTTGATTGTATTTTTTAGGCTAATTATAATTTTTAACTAATTTCATTTTTCAATTAGTTTTTTTTCTAATTTCATATTTTTTTTCTTTTTTTTGCAAACTTAATATGTTTGTTATAGATATGTAGTTGAGAAAAAAATGCGGAATAAAAATTTGGCGTTAATTGATCGACATGCGACAAGAAATGAAACTGGTGATACTGTCATGCCAACTTCTACAAAAGCACAAATTACTGGTAGGAATTAATTTATACCATTATCATACATTCCTGATAAAATACAAAGAAGAAAAAAAGAAGATTACAATTTAGATATCAAAGATTGGATATTAACATTGATAAAATTATAAAAGTATTTCATTCAATCCACTCAATGGTCAATTAATTCAAATTATGAAAACATTCTGATTAATCCATTCAATGGTTAACTAATTCAAATATTGTTACCGTTATCAAATAATAGTTGTATTTTTATTGATAACAAATATTATCACTTTATCACTATCATTTAATATCATAGTAAAATACAGGAAGAAAAAGAATTTCACTGATGATATAAATTTATCAAAATTTTATATTTTTCGGAATGTATTAAATGATTGTAAATTCTTGCAAGTATTTGATGATGAGGAAATTTTATAAAATCAGATGAAAAGAATTTTTTTTTCTAATTTTTTTTTTTTTTGTAAGCTCTAATTAATGCAAAAATATATTGTGATCGAATTTTTTTCCTCCTTTTTTTTTTTCCAACCAACTGATAAAAGATATCATCAAATAAACGATATCAAAATAAAGGAATGATAAAATTGGAACATTAAAAAAAATTGAAAAATTAAAAAAAATCATTTAAAAATTAAATTGTATAAAATTGGAATGTCTAAAATTATAACATTTCAGGAAAACTTTTCGTTTGTTTGTTTTTACTTTTTTCACATTTATTTAATATTTTCAGATTTTTTTCAACCGTACAAACAATCATTCAATCACCAATTTATGTCTTTTCATTAATTGGTCGTATAATGGATGTTTTTGCATTCAAAGGATTTTTTATCTTTCTTCCAAAATATTTAGCAATACAATTTGGTTTACCACAAAATAAAATTAATCTTTTTTTAGGTTTGTTTTATTATCAAAAAAAAAAAAAAGAACAAAAATAAAAATAAAAAAAATAGTGAAAGAATTTTAATTAAATTGTAACGAAATTTATTTTGTTATTTTCATTTTCTTTTTTTCTTTTTTTTTTTTAATATTTGTTTATGCTTCTTTTTCTTATCATTTTACAGTTCGTTATTTATTTTTTACTAAATTTAAATTGAATGATTTGAACTTTTTTCGCTGTAAAATTTAGATATTTTAATTTCAATATGAAATTTGGAAATTTTATCGGCAAAAATTGGATATTTTGATTTTAACATGAAATTTGAATATTTCCTTGCAAATTTTGCATATAAAATTAAAAAATTTCATTGGAAAAATTTAAAAATTTTAATTTTGGTATGAAATTTGAATATTTTATCGGAAAAATTTTGGATATAAAATTTGGATGTTTTATTTGTTAAAAATTTCAAAAAATAAGCATGAAAATATTTCTTATAGCATAATTACTCATCAGTATTAATTTTATAAAAATGAAAAATGATTAATTAACGAGTTATTAAATATTGTTATCGTAATGGTTCATCTGAATAACTTCATATTACCGTAGTTATATTGATGAAATGTAAATTATATTGCAGGATTAATAAGTTTGCCAGGACTTGCTGTTGGTCTATTAATTGGTGGTGTAATTATGAGAAAATTTAAATTACAAGGTATTATTTAAAAGGAGAAAAAAAGAATTTCTGATATATATATATATATATATATATTTCGGTTTTGAATTAATTGTAATTCATTCATTTGATTTCTATTCAATAAAATAATGCAGGCATTAATGTTATCATTTAATAAAGAATATATAAAATTTCAAATATTTTACTAATAAAGGATTTCTATTAGAAAATCTTTTAATAAAAAAATTTCAATAAAAAATACTAATAAAAAATTTCAAATTACTGATAAAATACTTTAAAATTCAGTTTATACCACTATATTATATTAATTAATTAATATTAATTATTCGTTTTTTCTTTTTTTTTTTAGGTCGAAAAGCAGTAGCATATATTCTTATATGTTCATCAATTGCTGCTTTATTTTCACTTCAAAATGCGATGATTGGTTGTAAATCAGTGCTTAGTTTAATTGGTGATAAGGCTAAGTAAATGTTTAATTAATTAAAATTTCCACACAACTTATCAATATATTTCATTTTTTTTTTACTTATATGAAATCAAATATTTTTATATACACTTTTTGAGATATATTAATAAAATAAATGTTTTACTAATCAATCAATCAATCAGTCGATCAAATCGATCGATCAATCAATCAGTCAATTGTTTCATTTAGATCAATTATCGAACAATTATGTATTTCATTCCGATTAATCAATCATTCTTTGATAATACAAAATTCTTAAATGCAAAACATTTACTTCAATCATTTTTACTTTAATTAATCTCAATCAATTAATTGTTTCATTTTGATTAATCAATCGATCGTTTATTTTATTCAGATTAATTAATCGAAATTTTACAACAACATGTAATAATGATTGCAATTGTATTGGTATGCCATTATATCCGGTTTGTAATCAGGAAGGTGAAGCATTTTATTCACCTTGTCATGCTGGTTGTTCCTTAGATCAAACTTTTTCCAATCCATCAATTAACAAAGTATATCTTTTTTTTATGCTAAAATACTTTAATAGTTTGCAATTTTTTCCAATCATTCAATTAACAAATAATTACTAATTAATTTTGTAATTAATTAAATTTGTGGAAATTTAGGCAAAAAAAATTGTAAAAATTAAATTTGTAAAATGTAATTAACTTAAGAATTATTCTAATATAAGTATGCATATTTCCTGGTTTTCAAGTATTTAATTATGGGAATGTAATTCTGTAATTAATTAAATTTTGTAAAAAATCAGATAAAAAAAGTTACAAAAATTGAATTTGTAAAATGTAATTAAATTAAGAATTCAAATATAATCATACACATTTTTTAATTTTTAAATATTTAATTATAGATAGTATTTTAATTATAAATAGTATTTTTTGCATATTTTTTTTTGAACAATTTTTTTTTCTTTTTTTTTTTAGATCTTCCAAAATTGTAGCTGTTCTAATAGCACCAATAATAATGTATCACGTGATTTTTGTGATCAAAGCATTTGTGAACAAAAATTTGCTTGGTATTTTCTAAATTTAGCATTCTCAGGTATCTTTGGTGGAATGAGTATTATTCCATCAGTGTTAATTGTTCTCAGGTAAGCTATTAATTACTACATACATATGGTTCATATATATGTTCACCTATGAGATACTTCTCTTTAAATGATAATTTTTTAAGTGATAAGAAAGATTTTTTCCTGATATAATCAATGAAATCATTGAAATATTGTTCTTTTTCTTTTATTTTATTTAAATATATCATAATTTATAGTTCATTAAATAAACTTTTTCATGCTAAATATTTTAACAAATATTTATTTTACTAAATTTATTTGCCTTCTCGATAAATTGCAATTAATCGATTAAGCCTTATCATCTTTTTGGTTTATCAATAATCAAATTTTTTATCTTTCTTCATAATCCTCGATATCGCTTCGATTAATTGCTAATTTATAATTTTATCAATGTTAATGATTTGGTTTCATTAATACTTTAATCATTGAATGTGAAATTGTTAAGATCTGTACCACCAATGGATCGAAGCATTTCTCTTGGTTTTCAAGGATTTTTTGTTAGCTTAATTGGTTTGTTTATTACAAAGTTTCGTTTCTTTTTTTTTTTGAAAAAAGATTGAAAGTTTGTTTCATTTATTACAGTACTATCTGTTAATTAACATAATTAAAGTAAGCATTTTTTGAGTTAACATTCAAGTGATAAGTTGAAATGAATTGATAACAATCCTGGGAGGGAAGGAGAGGGAAAACATATTTTTGTGATAAAAATTAAAAAGTTTTATTTTTATAAAGTGAAAATTAAAAATAATCAAAATTAATTTTTTTCGATGCATAATTTTATTTAAATTTCATTTATAGCAACATTACCATCATCCGTTTTTTGGGGTTGGATTATTGATAAAACATGTATCATGTGGAATACTGTATGTGGAAAGGGATTACGTGGTGCTTGTGAATTATATGATACTGATAAATTACGACTTATGACTCATTTAACTTACGGTGCAATACGGTATGTTATTGTTTTTCTTCCTTTTTTTTTTTTTTTTTTTTTTGTTTAATATTAATTTGCAGCATTTTATTAAAATTGTATTCCAGTTAAATTTCATTTCATTTTTTTCCAAATACAATTTAACCTATAAAATTTTAAAAAAAATATGCTAATTCATATTAGAATATTTTGTAATGATACATTTTTTCAAATGGTATAATGATATACTTAAAATTGAAATGAAATTTAACTTAAATAATTTGATTACAATACTTTATAAATATATTATTACTTATTGGGATATTTTGTAATAAGGCAATTTTTCAAATAATATAATGATATATTTAAAGAAAAATTCTGAAATGAAATTTTACCAAAATAATTTGATTGAAATACTTTATAGATGTATTATCGCTTATTAAGATATTTTGTAATAAGGCAATTTTTCAAATGATATAGTGATATATTTAAAATCGAAATGGAATTTAACTAAAATAATTTGATTACAATACTTTGCAGATTAATTATCATGCAACATTTAATGAAATTTAATGAATGAATTATTAATTACAGATTAGTATCAGCAATTCCTGATATTGCTGTTTTTTATTTCGCAAAAGATCTCTTATTAACTGATCATGAACGAAATGGATAATTGGAAAAGCGATCAAACACCTGAGCTAATTATCAGTTCAAGTATTATTGTCCTTTTCAATAGTCTTAAAGTTGGAAAAATTCAATTATTATTATTATTATTATTATTATTATTATTATTATTATTATTATTATTATTATTATTATTATTATTATTATTATTATTATTATTATTATTATTATTATTATTATTATTATTATTATTATTATTATTATTATTATTATTATTATTATTATTATTATTATTATTATTATTATTATTATT